TTCCGTTTGGTTTGTACAGCGCCAAACAAATCGGCGCCATCTATGCGCGAGATGCCCAACCCATCAATGACAGGTGTCCAATGACGTATGACAGATGACGTGTAACGCCATCTATGCGTGAGATGCCCAATGACGCATGACAGGTGTCCAATGACACACAGATTCCGTTTGGTTTGACAGCGCCATCTAGCGGCGGAATCCCCAACTCATGAATACAGATTCCGTCCAACAACCTGTCAATGGCGCGCGACGCCAGCGCCTCTGGTGGCGGATTTTGGAAGTTTTGAGACCGAATCCCCATAAGACATCTACTAGGGTACATTTCTAAACTATTGGCCATTATAAAGGGTGTTCCAATTTCGACCTACATATCAAAGTTGTGATTTTTCAAATGTAATGCCTCAAATTTTATTGCATATTTGGTTAAACCAATTCAAAAGAAGAAAAACGATATAACATAATATGGGTTTTTGGTAATTAGCTACTGAGATATAAGGTATTTTGTCTAGAAAAACCCCCCACTTCGCCATTTTGAAATTTGGAGCTCTGAATTTTGTATCAAAAAAACTTATATACCTCAGCTTTCATCTTATTTGTTACTTTTTAGAATTATAATTTTTGCTCATACATGGTGGTCAAAAACGCAAATTGTAGTTTTTCTCAAAAATTTCATATGCATCACCCTATATATTTGTGAAAGTTTGAATTCAATTTTTTATCAGCTTTATTTATACTGGACACATATGGCCTTTTACGGCTATTTTTTCGGTTATTAGCACGTCCTTTATTGAACGGCTTAATTCCCTAAAATGTCCCATCATCCTTGGAAACAAATAAATTGTTGGTTAGTTACAAACTGTCCAAATTAGGTTTGAGAGCATTATGATAAAAACTTGTTAGAAAATGAATTTTTCTAAAGAAGAAATGGTGAATATGGTGCTCGTTTTGGACGAAGCTCAAAGAAATAGTTTCCTAGCATCTCGCATTTCTGAGCAACCGTACCCTAATATGCGACATCCAAGGCCGGAAACATTTTCCACACTACGAGAACGTTTTTAATCAAGTGGGGCAGTGGAATATATTAAAAAATGTATAAATAATCCAAGTGTCGCCAATGAAGCGAATCATTTCTAGGTTCTATTAAAGTTGCAGGAAAATCCCGTTTTAAAAGCTCGGCAAATTGGAGCAGAAACTGATATATGCAGAACTTCTTCACTTCACCAGCATAGGTACGTACCATCCATATTACCTATGCTTTCGCAGCTCGAATGGAGTTTAGTAGAATAATGCTAAATAAAGTGAGTGAAGACACTACTTTCCTGGATAAGGTACTTTTTAGCGATGAGGCAACTTTTAACAGCATAGGTGTTGTCAACAGGCATAACATGCACTATTATGCGACGGAAAACCCTTACTGGGTTTGGCAAATAGTTTTCCAAAATAAATGGAGCTTAAATATTTGTGAAGTAGTTATTGGCAGACAAGTTATCGAGCCTTTCTTTTCCGACAACAGATTAACAGGTACAGAATACTTGAATTTTTTGAACAAGCATTTGCCTTTGCTTTTGGATGATATCAACCTGCAAACTCGGATGCATATGTACTTCCAACATGACGGCGCACCAGCGCATTATCATAATCGTGTGCGTAACTATTTGGACACCTGGAGTAATAATCGTTGGATCGGTCGTAATGGGCCTACATCTTGGCTAGATCACCAGATATGACACCGATGGACTTCTTTCTAAGGGGCGAAGTTAAGCAAGAGGTTTATAGATATCCACCATCCACCCCGAAAAATATGAAGAAAAGGATTAAGGATGCTTTTCTGAACATAAGGGATCACTTGCTGAGGGATGTACAACGGTCATTTATCCGAAGACTACGACTGTGTATTCAACCTAGTGGAGATATTTTCGAGCATTTTTGTAGATTAGGTCTTGAGTAGTGATAGTTGTTTGTTTATGTTGTTGTTATAATTGTTTTTCTCTATTACGCTTGAAGCTGATTTATACTGTGCTGTTTGTTATTAGTTTTTACGTCAAATCTGTACTCTTAGTGGTGATATGGAACTAGCCAACTGTTTGTCTTTTGTTTCCATGGATGATGTGATTTTTTTCCTTAATTTTGGTGTGTTATTAAAAACTTAATAACCCAAAATCCAGTGATTTTATCTGAATCAAAGCTTATACCAAAAAAAGGTTATAACATGCACAAATATATAGTGTGATGCATTTGAAATTTTTGATAAAAAGTACGATTCGCGTTTTTGAAATGAAAGTTCGAAAAAGTAACAAATAAGATGAAAGCTGAGGTGTGTAAGTTTTTTTTGATACAAGATTCAGTACTCCACATTCCAAAATGGCGGATTGGGGAGTTATCGATGTGGACGGTTTTTCTGAACAAAACACCTTACATCTCGTAGCTAAATACCAAAACCCCATAGTATGTAATATCAATCTTCTCTTTTCGAATTTGTTTATCCAAATATGCAATAAAATTTGAGGCATTCTATTTAAAAAATCACAACTTTGATATGTAGGTCAAAATTGGGACACCCTGTATAACTGCCAATATTTTAGAAATGTGCCCTCAAAGGTCATGTATAACATGCCATAAATAGATTTTCCTAAAATGTATTTGTTTATGATTAATATTCCGTCCATGCATGGATGGGCCGCCCTGTATATTTTGCTATAAAATGCCCTTTGAACAAACCCTGTATATTGCTCAATAAACTAGTAGTGATAGCCGAAAGACAGGTGTTTCGGGATAAACAATTAGAAATCCTCTAAAACCACTCGACCAAACGACTCCAATTTTGTTGTGGTTATTTAGAAGTATGAAGCCTACGGATTTGACGAATTTCAAATAGCAGCGTGAAATTATCGTCGCATTAGCAACAAGTACCAAAACCTGCATTTTGCCTCGGCTTTTGGCCATAACTTTTTTTAATATTAGTCGGATCTTTTTACGTGTGGTCTCATTTTGTAGGTCTCATAAATATACTAAGTGACATATAAATCCGAACACCCAGTTTAAATGGTTTTATTTTAATAAAAGTTGGTGAATGTATTCATCTTACTGTAAATAACAAGTGAAAAAATTTTCAGCCTTATCAGTTGGACATTCCGGTTTTTATAGTGCTTTTTTTTAATTCACTAACGCTCTAAAAATGAATATTTCAGCCGCAGTAAAGAATCAACGTTGGCGGATTTTGGTTCTTGACATCCTTTACGATCGGTTACGATGCCTAGAGTACGAAGACCTGTACGATTTCGTCAACTTAGTGAGTTTGATAGGGGTCGTATAGTGGGACTTCGGAAGCTGGACTTTCTTTTCGGGCAATTGCAGTTAGACTGCAAAGAAGTGTAGACACTGTGGTTAGGTGTTGTCAGGCATTGCTTCGATAAGGCCGTACGCAAAGAGCAAGGGGCACTGGACGCCGCCGTAGAACAACAGACCGTGAAGATCGCCGCCTAAGATTATTGGCCTTAAGGGACCGTTTCTCCACTACCAGGTTCATTGCAAATGAATGGTTTGCAGAACACGGAAGACCTATTGGCATGCGAAGTGTTTACCGACGAATGAGAAGTTTTGGCTTGTTTTCATACCGGCCACACTGGGTCCTCCCTTTAACTCGAGAACACCGACGTAATCGCCTTGAGTGGTGCAGACATCGGTCACTCAACAGTATTGTCTTTAGTGACGAGTCTCGATTTTGTTTAGGCATGCACGATGGTCGTGCCAGGGTTAGAAGGCGACGTGGTGAAAGGAGGAATCCACAGTTTTTTGTTGAAAGACATGTTCATCACACTGTTGGAGTTATGGTTGGGGGTGCTATAGCTTATGGTTCCAGGTCACCTTTAATCTTCATCAGAGGTAACATGAAAGCGCAGCGTTATATCCACGAAGTTCTAGAACCCCATCTTTTACCCTATCTTGACACCCTGCAGATCCAACTTTCCAACAAGATAATGCCCGACCACATGTTGCAAGAGTCACAATAGACTTCTTTCAACATAATGATGTAACATTGTTACCATGGCCACCAAGATCTCCCGACTTATCCCCAATTGAGCACGTGTGGGATATGATGGGTAGGAGATTGCTCAATTTGCAACGTCCTCCTCAGACTCTAGAGGCACTTCGAGAGGAGTTGGTGGTTGCCTGGAATGAGATACCACAGGAGGACATTGACCACCTGATCAGAAGCATGCCTAGGCGCGTTGGAGAATGCGTAGCACATCAGGGTGCATCCACACATTATTAAAGGTCAAAGGGCTTTAAAGCAGTGCAATCATTTTGAAATTTTTATCATTTACTTATTATGCTTCATTAAGTACTTATACAAAATTTTATTAAAATAAAACCATATAAACTGGGTGTTCGGATTTATATGTCACTTAGTATACCTAAAAATCTTATTTAAAGAGTTTTTTCGTTCGTGCCAACACTTTCAAGTAAATCTCAAAAAACACGTTTTTTCATTCTTTGTTTTAGAATAAGAAGTTTGCCCACAAAAATTGGGGAACCCATTTTATGCGTCAACTTGCATCAATAAAACCCGACTTTACAATTATTTCTGGGAAATTTGCTAATATGATTAGACTATTAGGACCAACCCAGCTCTAGTATACACATGTTAAGCTTTCAACAATATCTCAAACAAGCACGTCGTTATTCGCTCTGTGACCTTTGCTCTACATTCAATCGTGTTAATGATTACCGTCCGTTCGGTAGTGGTGTCCAATCGATCTTCGTTGCAGATATGCCTTCGTTTTTTGGCATACTTCCACCGAAGTTTGCAAACGGCTCGGCGTGTTGCTAATAGTGAGTACTAGAGATATTAAAACTTCTGCAAAAGGAAGTTTTTAACCGGGACAGCCGACCACTGAATTCGCCTTGTTCGTTCAGGAAGTTTCTGTTTGCTTGTTTTTTTTTTATTGTTAGGAACAGGAACTAACGTTTAATTTCGTAGTAATTCTTCTCTGGTTCAGTTAGCACGCCAGAAGTAGCTGAACAGAATTTGAGAAGAATACGAGAATGTCAAATCAAGGTCAAAACAATTTTTTGCCAGATATTTGCACCTTTAACCGCGAAAATAGAGCCCAAAATTGTACGTCCAGTTGAGCTCGTGGTCAAGGTCAGTTGCAAGGTCGGGCGCGGAGAGCGAAAAGTTTGATTAATAAATTTATTGAATGAAAAATATATTTCGTAGGCTGCGAATGGATGATAAATATCCCCACTATGAATGTAAAGATAAAAGTAAAGTTGAACTAAAAATGCTTTCACTACAAGTGATGGACAATAAATTCATCTGTCTACACTGCATTTATTTTTGACATTTTGGGCGCCATCGGTTGTTCTGTGGACCCCATATGTTTTGGGTTAGATCTTTAATACCCGTTTTAAATCAAAAAATTTCACGGGTTTCTTCAGGGGTATTCGGATTATGTTTTGCAATGTTTACATCAATGAACAAATTCATGAATTATCTCAGAATTGACTACTATCTACCGGCTTTGGCACCGACGAGACGTCGGTAATCTGGCTCTCTACCGTTATGTCAACGGGTTTTGCTCCTCAGAGCTGTCCTTCTTGATACAGCCTAACGATGAGCCTTTCAAACAGGCCCACCTGACTTCGGCCTCCCATTCTAACCGTGTCGAACATCATACATACAGTACTGGCCAGTACGACTATGCCTTTCTCCCTAGGGTGTCGAGATTGTGTCAGAATCTGACCGAGAAGGCTTTTGTCAGTTCCACTAACCTTAGACCGTTCAAAAATGAAATTAACAAAGTATCCATGCTCTTTAGAACAGGCCCCGGTATTTAGGCTTCTACCTACGCTACTGCTTCGGTATAAAAAGAATATCAAGTGTTAGAAGTATAAAGTCTACTAAATTTCTCTAAGCATCTCCCCAATTAACAATGCGACTATACCCTAAAATAAATATCATTAATTTTAAGCAGCTTGGATATCCACAGTACGTCCAAACTTTTAATGACGAGTTATTTATACCACGTATATATATATATACTTATAAATTGAGCTTCTCAACTTTATCGACTCAAAGTTCTGCATGATAAACAGTTGAGCAAAATCGAAGAGGTAACCTAATTCACGCCGAGCATTGGCGACAAAACTTCATCCATTGTAAGAGCCTGCAGATGCTCAAACAATTTCAAACTGCAGTTCCGCAGGATTTGTGGACGTATAGCGAATGATAAGAGACCCTGCAAGATGGTAGCTTTGAAGATAAAAGGTAAGTATTTTCGATTTACTATTGAAAATATTCGCTTTCAGAGTCATATGACTGTATATTAGGAGATATAGTAGCGCAGACCTATAAATACAGGGTGTCCGCAAAGTTGCGGTTTTCCTTTACACGACGTGTAGATCTTGAAAACATAAGCAATTTTTCTTAGTACCATATACACCAATGTCTTAAGGGAACCGAGATAAAGGGCTCTGCAACATCAAAAATATCTTAATACCATCCTGTAGCCGCGACTCGCGACATCCCCAACTGGTACTAGGACACTAGCTCAACCTGACGACAGAACTGGGTCGGGGTCGGGGTCAGTGGGTCAGGTCAGTATGCAACCTTCAACCGACGGTTACGGTCACGCGTGTAGAGGTAAACGAACCCGTATAATCGATTGCGTTTCAAAAAACAACAAGGACTAGAGACGTGGCTAGAGAAGTGCAAGTATCAAAAACTAAAGTGTGGCAAACGCTGCGTGAAGAGGGGCTATATCCGTTTCACGTCCAACGTGTACAAGCCCTTCAACCTGACGATTTTCCAGCAAGAGTGCGGTTTTGTGAGTGGTTGTTGCATCAACATGACAATAATCCGGACTTTTTGAAGTGCATATTGGTGACAGACGAATCTACGTTCACGCGTAATGGGGTGAATAACTTTTGCAACACTCATGTTTGGTCAGTAGAAAATCCGCACGCTGTCCATCGGGCACATTTTCAACAAACATTTTCGGTGAATCTTTGAGCTGGCATGGTGAACGGTATGCTCATTGGACCATTTATTCTCCCAAATCGATTGGACGGGATGCAATACGTAGACTTTTTACGCAACATTTTGCCTTCCTTCTTAGAAGATGTGCCATTAAGTGTAAGACAATCAATGTGGTTTCTGCACGATGGTCATATTTGTTACCTCTGTTCGTGGTCTACTGGTCTGCACCACCGCCGGTAGCGCATCAGCTGATTTCATTTTCTGTTGGAGCGGTATGATTTCGGGCAAAGACGTACTTAGCCCTTCTCGTCAACTGGAAAGTGAGTACTTTTTTCTTTATTTTTTTTTACTTGGTCGCCCTCGTTTCACTACACATTACCTTTGTTATTTCAAGGGTAGTTGTTTCTGAAAAGGAAAACCCCAACTTTGCGGACACCCTATAGGAGATGCATTTTAGTCAAAGGTTTATGAAATAATCGGAACGAGGCCAAGTATTTGATGAAAATATTGGTTTACGTTAACAGTCAAAATTTTCTCGCGATGCGATTGTCTCAAAAATGACTCAACATTGACAAAATGGCCACCATTGCAGATAAAGTAGCGGACTTCTTCTCAAAGTAAAATATAAAGTAATATCCCATAGTTTCTCGTCATCTAGACACGATTTTACTGATTACCCGGGGGATATAAAATCTTGATTAGGACCAATGAAAAGGCATCTTTCTAGTAATGGATCAAATGAGTAGAGTCGATTTCTTCTACAATATTGTGTAAGAAGGACCCCTAATCCCCGTTTAAAATCAAGAAATTATTATTTAAATCGCCTGGAACAATTAGAAAGCGTCTGCGTAAAGCTGCATCTTAAATTGGCCATTCGGAAACAAGTATCATAGACCGACCTTGCAGATAATACAACCAAATTCAAAACAAACATAAATATCTGAGAAAATTGAAAAAAGGATATATCGGTTTTTAATTGTACTCAGCAAACTCCTTAATTGTCTTCCATTATCACTGTTTTCACCGCTGTACCCAATCCGCATGTAGTCCTTCGAAGTTGTTTATTCACTGAATCAAAGCAGTTACGTCACAACGTCAAATAATGACAGTGACGCACATGTTTGCCACATTTCCTAATTAAAACTAATAGATCCTAGGACGTTTTAGAAAATATACTTTATGTAGTGTATGCTAGTATAAATTGTATTCACAACCTAATACCTCTCTTACGGACTGTAAAGGCAATAATGAGGCTCCATGATCTCGTTCGGTCTCAAAATATTTCGTTAAAGAAATGACCAATTGTTTTGCTTGACGACCCAGAGGTTTCGGCATTTTAGCTAAGTGCTTAAAAGGACACCTCAAAGTATTGAAAAAACAGTTTTTATAAAATAGCAATGTCAATATTGAGGTAAAAAGAACGGAATTAAACCACAAATATACAACAGTCATTGGCGTAATTAAGTGACAAGCTTTGCGACAATTTGACAACACAGAAAACTTTTACCAACATAAATGTACGCGGGAAATTCAAACTATACGTACCAAATTAGGATCTATTTTGCATTAAGGTTAGAATTCAAATTTACTAAATTTTTTATAAAAAAAAGGTGGAAACCAGATAAGAAATTATACAACAAAAAGAAAGCTCTGTAATAACATAAAGTCTGTAAAATATAAAATAAACACCCTCCTTTCTTTTGCTTCTTTGTCGGATAGAGATAGGATCTGTATTCGATTTCAGATAATAACGATTCTGGGATTTCTGGACCTCCTAACACGACACCTTCGATGATGTTCGACAACTTCCAAGTCTCAGGGTTTGATGGGGATCGGATGGGAATAGTTGGTCTACTTATAGATTGCTAATAATGATCTGACACCGAGACTGTCGGGATTAAACTGTATCAAACCACTACCTTAAATAACATTAACCACAAACTCAAAAACAACTCAGTATAACATTCAAAATAAACTCGTACTGATCGTGGCGGCTCTTGAAATAACTCTTTTTGTAACCAAATTTTCTAAATAAGGAGCCAAGTATTTCCTGCCAGGCCGCACCCAGAAACAAGATAACATTTTTCGTTCACCGTTACGTAACTTTTATCTTGATCAAAATTCAACAACCACAGATTTCCTTCATTCTTGTAACAAATTAAGATAGCAAGTCCAGGTGTGAATACTATGTTTATGCATTGATTAACATATTCCTCGTGTCGTTAAATCACCCTACTTAACGCATGTGAATATGTGCGAACGCATACTCGCACCTCCACCTCTAGTATTCGTTTTCGCTCTACTCTTGACAGTTGATACATTTGTAGTGCTGCCAGGCTAATAACAGTAAACATGAATAATATGTACCTATTAAAAACAAGTGTTTCTTATTTTAGCACATATTTACATTTATTGTTCAATTCAATTAAAAGAGTCGAAATGGAGTGTAATTCGATCAATCTAACTTTTATTTTGTGGATTTAAGGCAATTTCACCCTTACGACTTTTCGTTGAACAACTTGATGTGGTATCACTGGACTGTTATGTGACTGGACAGCTGAGCTGATGAAAGGTAGTACTGGTTAATACTTAGTATAATAAAGATTTTCCTGTATTCTTTAGTTTTCCCAAAAACATACAAACTTTAATCATATGCATACCAATTTAATCGACACGATGCTTTTTAAAAATATATCCTTTTTTCTAAAATTGTATCTCTCTCAGGTAAGTAATACACTGTTCTTTTCAATAAAGTACTCAGTAATTGATATCATATCAATCTAGGCATTACATCATATTTAATACACAATTCGGGCATGGATTAAAGGCTCCTCTCCGGTTGGCCAGTTTTCGATACAGTTATACAAAAGCATGATTTAATTTGTCATTGTTTATACGATTCATAGGATTTGATCTCCAAATCAATTGAAAAACTATGTTTTCCTAGGTAAACCATGTAATTTATAATAAATTTCTTGAGATTTAATATGCGGTTTAGACCTACAAATCGTATATTTTTTCGTTATTTTGAGAGATACTTCAGAAAAAATCGACTATATTCAATAGATCCATTCCTCCAGAAATACCTTCTTCCATTATGATCCGGATCAAGAATTTTGATATCCTGTTATTTATCCTAATCCTGACATTTCTTCAAAAATTCAAATGAGTATATTTACACAATTTCGGGTTGAACTTTCGACAAGCTTTATTTTGCTATAAAATATTCTGAATATTTACTACGTTTTCCATATTTCCCATCAATGGAGAAACTTCCTAGATAGCGGCAATATTGGCAAAAGAGGATATAATCCAGTTTCATTCAAATTTGGATCCATACTACCAATGTTTACATTCCCGCGTAAGGCAGAAACTGTCCTGTTTGTTAGCGAACATTGTTCAACGCTGTTTATCAATGTTTGATGAGAAATTCTAGTTAATAAATCAGAACTGTTCAGAGGGGTGAAAGTCATGAGCAGAGCTAGGAAATTAATTTTGAACAAGATTTAAAACCACCAGAATCAATAGTATGCCTCATTAAATAGTCCAAGAACACTTTTAATTTTCACGCGCGCAAGTTCAAAAATGAGATATTATATTTTTGGATGTTACATGTACATCACGAAAAAAAAATGTCACTCATTTCCGTCAGTCTGCCTGTCTGTCTGTATGTCTGTCTGTTTGTATGTCGGTCTGTCCGCTAATCTTATAAGCGCCTATAACTTGAGAAGTACCGCTCGGATTTCGATGAAAATTTTATACAATATTACTAGTGTTCCAAGGACGCAGAATCCAGAATCTTTATAGTTTTTTTTTTAAATAAATATCGTTAAATATTTTTCGATGTTTCAGAGGATCCTGATCATTTTTGAAAGAAATATAGAGGTGCTGTGGGGTTTGGGGAGGGTTTGTCTCAATTTTTATGCTCGTACATAATTGGTAATTCTACGCACCTACAAGACATATTTCTCGCATCATAACTTTCTCTGAGCCTTTCTCGGGACACAGATCGCGTACCTATCGGCCGCGACTGCTGCTGGCGTCGTGCGCCAACCGTAATGAATGTTCTGGCATGGGATCACACGTATATATGCGGCGCAACAGCATAGTATTTTCTATGGTCTGACCAAGCTACCACCTCTGCCCGAGCTAGATAAAGGGTTGAGGCGACTTTCCCAGATGCACTACCGGTAGGGCAGGGAAAGAATGTCTATGGACTAATTGTATGGACCTGTTTGACTGATTTTTTCTCGGAGGTTTTGTACAGAATATATTCCTTTATGTACTGATAAGGGCGTTGCGTGGGAAGAGCAGAGTCAACCGACTTGACGCCATTTCTTAGGTGTTATATGACAAGTATATAATATACGGTTTTTCGGATCTACTCCATTCCTTGGAGCAGACCAAACCACGTTTAGTTTGTTCGTACAGCCTGTTTGCTGACAATCACCAACTGATATTCGGCGACAAGTAATGACCTAGTTTACGCAGTTAGCTGTCACTGACCCATCGCTGATTGTATTAATTGCGTTCATGAGAACGTTACGAGTTGGCTAAGGGAGGTCAGACCGATTAGCGACAACTAATCCGCTGTTCGTACAGAAACTTCTGACTGTTTGATTACTGTCAAATCAGTCAGCAGATAATTTTCCAGTAAATTGTCAGAGCTCGAAATCAAGTACAATAATTATTCGAATGTGAAATTTTTCAGAATGAAGTAGACAATTTTGAAAAAGTTGGAGGTTCATTTGCTGTAAATCAGAATGATCTAGGATTTTTCGTCCAACTGTCCAAATGTGCCCGAATGTTCCTGTAGAGAGGAAAACATGGACACTTTCTAGAAAAAATTACAGCACCCAAAAATGTCAAGTAGATTTACTCAGTAATTACCATTCCATTCTCATTCATGAAGTATAAACATAAATTCGAGGAAATATGACTCCACACATCGAGTGACAAGTTGAAGAAGTAAATACATAGTAAGAATTCTGAATAAACGTCGGCAGTGATTATGCCTGAGAAATGTACAAAATATTGTATCTTAATAAAACTCTGATCGTAGGGTTTTTGTTCCCTGTTCCCTTGTCGCCCAGCCTCGAAGTGTATGCGCAAACAGTATTTATATATTCTAGCTATGTAAGTCCAACACAAAGCTGATGAAAATATAAACAAAATACCGAATCCTGGAGATTTTGTGATAGAGCTTTTTCTCACGGGTGCCCACTGAGAGGGAGTGACTGTTTGTGCTGGGGTGACAATAATATTTCCCCTATACAGGGTATTTTAAATTCGACCCTCACCATTGAGATCTCGGAAACGTCAAGGGATACGAAGTCACTTAAATAGGGCAAAGTTGCGTATTAAGATAATCAGCAAAATGTCGCTTAGAAAGTTTTGAAATTGAAAGTACTTCCGGAAAGAGACGTAAAATACTAAATTTCCCAAAATGGTTTCAATTTTCTCCTGACTTTATTTGTGGTGGGATTTCAAAATAAATTGCACATGAACTCTGTCACATTTTCTCCAAGACGGCACAATTAGAAAATGACGTTTCGTCTCTTGTCCTCCAGCATCAACTTAATTTTTTCTTATAGACGCCATATTGGATTCTTACACACATGAATAGAATTTTTATTCTGATTTCAAACATGTATATCATACATTGACATTGCAAAACCTTAGTTATTCCAGAAGTTCCTAGGTAGGCCTTGAAATTATTAGATTTCATTTGTTTGCATAGCAACAGAGTTTGAAAGACTGTGAATACCTCTGCTTATTTATGGTTATTATTCTTATTACCGTCAATAAATTTTTCATTTCGTATTCAGGTTTCACCATATCTTTTTATTTCTGTTTAATTTTCATTCAACAACAAATTTATGGTCAAATAACAATCACTGAATTTAGGGCTCAAAAAGTCCATTTAAATGTACAAAATACCAATATAGTGTCTGTATGAAAAACAAATTTGATGATGGAAATCGAAAGAAGAAATGTCGAATTGAAAATTTGACTACGCCATCTTGCAGACGAGAATATGCAATTTGTTTTGAAATTTCATCTCGAATAGAGTCGGGAAAAAATAGAGCGGTTTTGGGATAAATCTGGTGAGCGAAACAAACATCTGATAATTTCAAGGCCTACCTAAGAAATTCTGTTTTTCTTAAAGTAATAAAGGTTTGACAACGTCAATGTATGACGTACTATGCATTTTTTGAATCAAAATCAAAAACAAGAGAACCCTCATATAGAAATTCTGATTATGCCTTCTTGCAGAGAAGGAAACGTGGCACTGTTAATATGCAATTTATTTTAAAATCCCAATATAAATAAACTCAGGAAAAAATCAGAACAATTTTGGGAAAATTTAGTTTTTCCGTTACCCTACGAAACTACTTTGAATTTCAAAACCTTCTAAGTGTCACTTTGTTGACAACCCCATTTGAGCGACTTCATATCCCTTACAGTTTCTAAGGACCCAATGGTGAGTGCCAAATTAGAAACACCCTGTATATGCAGACTCTTAGTAGAAGAAAGGAGTGAAAAGACTACAAGGATTCAATAACGCCTTTGAATAATAAAAGGTGTTATACACTAAAAAGCTAAAACGGCTGAACCTAACTACAATTATCAAGATCTGCTTACATAGCTATAAGTTTCACAGAGTTCTCAACATGGATAAAGAGAACTGGGACAACGAAAATACATAGAAGTAAGACATAAATCCCGTAATTACGCATTTTGCAACTGTAACAAAAATTTTCAAAAGATTAGTGATCAAAAAAATCGAATTAATTATGGTTATTTCCTCTATTGTTCGAATTTTTCTTACTGTATATTTATAATCTTCATTTTGGGTCAATAAACAAAATATTGAGCACAAAGCACTTTGGCGCTGGCTGATATTTAAAATAGGATTTTATTAAAATTTCTTCAGCAAGTTGCTCACTTGAAATGTTACAAAAACTTGTTTCTGTTGAAGTGTGGCACTGTTTTCACTACAAAATTAAGATTTTTGGGTTTCATTTTTTTACACCGAAGCAGCCGCGCAGGTGAACCCTACATGCAAGGCACTGCCGCTGTTTTCAGGAGCTTAAAGAAACTTTGTTATTCCGATTTTTGGAGTGCCTAAAGTTAGTAGAACTGGAAAAATCTAATCATGTAGATTGTTACACGATCTCGACACCCTCGGGACAAAGGAGCGGTCTTATCGGCCAATTCTGGATGTACGAAGTTCGACACGCTTACGATGGGAGGCCGAAGTCAGGTAGTCACATCGCGGGGCGACACCATGGAAGAGGTGTCCTCAGACCGTCCATTAGAGAAAAGTTCATTAAATGCCTCTTGCGAATCAATTTTAGTCCTCAAGATAGGTTCCGACACACTCTGATACCTGTCACTGTCACTGGTTGACTGGTGCCCTCTGATCTGTCAGAAGGTTCTGTACGAACAGCGGATGAGCTGTCGGCAAACAGCCAGGATCTGTACGAACAGGTGACATCTCTCTGATTCTGATTTTGACAGTTACCGACCACTGTACGAACAAACCATTAGCCTACAGCACAAGCTGCCAACCAACTTTCAGAAGAACATCCCTTATGAACACACTAACGTGACTTCAGTCATATGCTTAGATACGACATATTTATTACTTGCGCAAATACTGAAAAGTTTGCAAGCTATTCGCTTATGTTTCCGTCAGTTTCATGTATGTTTGCAATCTAAATAGAACCAAAGTAGGATTGACGTCCATATTCAACAGCATTTCGAGTTTTACTTGGCAAAAGTTTCCATAAAGTTATACGCAACCAGTTTAGACTATGGAAGATGTTTAACTTTTACGATATACAAAATTTTCAGTATGAATATGTTCCGATGCAACTTATCCAGATAGCGTTACGTGTTGAATATTTTGTATCAGTCTCTCAGATTAAGGGCATTCAGCAATGCAAATCATACCAGGGAGAACAGATTGAATGCACTGAAACTGATATAGATAAAAGTATCGTACAGCTCACGCTAGGTGGCGCTATCAGCAGCTGGGTACTTCTCATTTCATGTTCAGTGCATATCCTGTTTTTCCGTGTCGAACGTACTTAATAAGTTGAGTAGTATTCACTTTAACACATAGAGCCTATATACCAGGAGAAGCGAGGCCAATGCTTTTCGTGCTGTAGAAATGATCCCGGAACTTGGAACCTGGGTATAACACCAGTATTACTTTGACAGGGTCGCCATGTTGAGGGATGTTCCTCCAAATTCGGGAAATTTTTACTTGGGGATTTTTGGGGGATATAACGTTCTGGGGTATATCACACGTCTCGCGGATAAAAAGCATCTTCCCGCTCTTTGAACCAAACCCACCTTCCCACTAATTAACTGTGATTTGGAGGATTTTTGAGAAATTTTTGTGTCTGTTCTGGGGAAATTCTGTCCGACCTATCTGGCGACGCTGTGCTTTGACAGATCGACCATAGGATTACCAACAAACAAATTTCCATTAACCTCATCATAAATTAACTCAACTACTTTTGGTTATTTTTTATAAATCCTTGGTGTAAATAGTCGGTAATATGTTGGAAATGGTTACTGTTACTTAGCTACTTGTGAAGAAGTGTTGAAAAGCCTCCCTTTGTGCGGTGTTGAATTATTTAGTTAGGAGGAACAGTAACATGTTCATTACTTGGAGTTTCTGCTATTCTCCAAAATGCTTGTGAAAGAATCAATCTTTTGTCCAAAGACCAACCAGATTTATGGATTCATGGGTTTTCTATACAGGGTGTCCGCAAAGTTGGGGTTTTCCTTTACATGACGTGTAGATCTTGAAAACGTAAGCATTTTTACCATATACACCAATGTCTTAAGGCAACCGAGATAAAGGGCTCTGCAACATCAAAAATATCTGAATACCGTCCTGTAGCCGCGACATCCCCGACTGGTACTAGGACACTAGCTCAACCCGACGACAGAACTGGGTCGGGGTCAGTGTGTCAGGTCAGTATGCAACCTTCAACCGACGGTTACGGTCACGCATCTAGAGGTAATCGCGTAGACGAGAATCCCTCACTAGAGACGTGGCTAGAGAAATGCAAGTATCAAAAACTAAAGTGTGGCAAACGCTGCGTGAAGAGGGGCTAAATCCGTTTCATGTCCAACGTGTACAAGCCCTTCAACCTGACGATTTTCCAGCAAGAGTGCGGTTTTGTGAGTGGTTGTTGCATCAACATGACAATAATCCGGACTTTTTGAAGTGCATATTGGTGACAGACGAATCTACGTTCACGCGTAATGGGGTGAATAACTTTCGCAACACTGATGTTTGGTCAGTAGAAAATCCGCACGCTGTCCGTCGGGCACATTTTCAACAAACATTTTCGGTGAATGTTTGGGCTGGCATGGTGAACGGTATCCTCATTGGACCATTTATTCTCCCAAATCGATTGGACGGGATGCATCAGCTGATTTCATTTTCTGTTGGAGCGGTATGATTTCGGGCAGAGACGTACTTAGCCCTTCTCGTCAACTGGAGAGTGAGTACTTTTTCCTTTATTTTTTTTTACTTGGTCGCCCTCGTTTCACTACACATTACCTTTGTTATTTCAAGGGTAGTTGTTTCTGAAAAGGAAAACCCCAACTTTGCGGACAACCTGTATAAAAGAATAACCGAGATATCAAAGAATTTGTTTCAGTTGCCTTGAGAAACAAAATTGGTGGAGCAAAGCGTGTATTTTCTAGTAGCTCCAGCAGATTTAACAGACAAGGGCGATCCTGATTGAATTTCTAGTCAAAATATGGAATACTACAATCCTATTCTATTTTGATGTTATCAGTTTGGGATTAACAATTCTGCTAACTTCAGATACCATTTGCATGCGCAAGTTTTGGGGTCGTTTTTTTTCTCATTTTGTCGATTCTCCTGGTAAAAAGGCTCCATGTTTCAATACTTCAAATATACTTCGAGTTTCAAAAGTTTAAAACTATGATCTCTTCATTATGAAATTATGGATGAACTTATCTTCAGAACGGTTCAGATAAATAAATATTGCTTCGACAAGGGATGCAGTCATCAGAATTTTACAATACCAGCTCCAAGAACATCATTCGATATAATCCAATAATGGAACGAAGCGAGACAGCTCATCACAAACATGGCAATCTAAGATTCTGTTTGTGAAAGAGATTTTTCTGCAGATGAAATAAAGTTAATTGAAAGTGAAGGCATGCATTTTTCCATCCTGCGACTGAATCTTTTGTATTTGTATATGGTTCATAACCTGTTTTTTCAAAATGACTTGGATAAGCATCTAAAACACGTTATTTACTTGCTTAGTTCTTTGATAGCAAATAGAACTCATACACCCTACATTTTCGCCTAATATATACTAAGTGACATACAAATCCGAACACCCAGTTTAAATGGTTTTATTTTAATAAAAGTTAGTGAATGTATTTATCTTACTGTAAATAACAAATGAAAAAATTTTCAGCCTTATCAGTTGGACATTCCGGTTTTTATACTGCTTTTTTTTAATTCACTAACGCTCTAAAAATGAATATTTCAGCCGCAGTAAAGAATCAACGTTGGCGGATTTTGGTTCTTGACATCCTTTACGATCGGTTACGATGCCTAGAGTACGGAGACCTGTACGATTTCGTCAACTTAGTGAGTTTGATAGGGGCCGTATAGTGGGACTTCGGGAAGCAGGACTTTCTTTTCGGGCAATTGCAGTTAGAATGCAAAGAAGTGTAGACACTGTGGTTAGGTGTTGTCAGGCATGGCTTCGAGAAGGTCGTATGCAAAGAACAAGGGGCACTGGACGCCGCCGTAGAACAACAGACCGTGAAGATCGCCGCCTAAGATTATTGGCCTTAAGGGACCGTTTCTCCACTACCAGGTCCATTGCAAATGAATGGTTTGCAGAACACGGAAGACCTATTGGCATGCGAAGTGTTTACCGACGAATGAGAAGTTTTGGCTTGTTTTCATACCGGCCACACTGGGTCCTCCCTTTAACTCGAGAACACCGACGTAATCGCCTTGAGTGGTGCAGACAACGGTCACTCTGGGATCAGGAATACTGACGAGTCTCGATTTTGTTTAGGCATGCACGATGGTCGTGCCAGGGTTAGAAGGCGACGTGGTGAAAGGAGGAATCCACAGTTTTTTGTTGAAAGACATGTTCATCACACTGTTGGAATTATGGTTTGAAGTGCTATAGCTTATGGTTCCAGGTCACCTTTAATCTTCATCAGAGGTAACATGAACGCGCAGCGTTATATCCACGAAGTTCTAGAACCCCATCTTTTACCCTATCTTGACACCCTGGCAGATCCAACTTTCCAACAAGACAATGCCCGACCACATGTTGCAAGAATCACAATAGACTTCTTTCAACATAATGATGTCACATTGTTACCATGGCCACCAAGATCTCCCAACTTATAACCAATTGAGCACGTGTGGGATATGATGGGTAGGAGATTGCTCAATTTGCAACGTCCTCCTCAGACTCTAGAAGCACTTCGAGAGGAGTTGGCGGTTGCCTGGAATGAGATACCACAGGAGGACATTGACCACCTGATCAGAAGCATACCTAGGCGCGTTGGAGAATGCGTAGCACATCAGGGTGCATCCACACATTATTAAAGGTCAAAGGGCTTTAAAGCAGTGCAATCATTTTGAAATTTTTATTATTTACTTATTATGCTTCATTAAGTACTTATACAAAATTTTATTAAAATAAAACCAATTAAACTGGGTGTTCGGATTTATATGTCACTTAGTATACTTACCTACACCGACACATATCATTTCTTACACTGGCCTTTTGTTCTAAAGTAGAGTGTTTTGTGATCCATCCATCGATAAATCAAATAACATGTAGCACGAGAAACTACGGTAATGCTGTTCGTGCCGTAATAAGGACCCCGAAACTTGACGCCTGTTGTACCAGTAATGCTTTGGCTAAGTTGCCATGTTGAGAGATTTTCCTTCAAATTTGGGTGATTCTTAGGTGGGGAATTTTTTGAAGGCATAATATTCTGGGGGAAATCTCACGTTTCGCGGATAGAAATCAGCCCCCTGCTCTTTGAACCACACCTATTCCTTTCCATTAATTAACTTGGCGGATTTGCTTGTCTGGCACCGCTATTCTTTGACAGATCCACCGTATGAACCTTTCTAGTCTAGGATCCGACGGCTATTCTACTATTATTTATCATTCATAAAAAGTAAGTTTTAATTTACGCAGCCGTGTCTCGTACTATAACCTCAGATACCCTGCGCATTCGCAGTAGTTGGTTTTCGCTTGGATTACTGCGTCCTCAGTCAGGCTTCAAGTTTTGAGGTCGTTTTTTGCTTAATTCGTCGGTTCTCCTGATACATCCCATATCATATAACATCGAAAAACGCTCTGTTCGTCGAGTTTTTATCATCGCGCTTGTAGCGTCTATATAACATGTTACTACACTGTATTCATATCTCATCTACAAATACAAGGGTGCGATGTCCAAATTGGCGCTCTGTTATTGGTCAGCGAGCCATGAATGCCTGGGCAGGCAGCGACAATTGAAAAAAGTGACGACCGAGTGCTCATATTTGTTTTGGGTCGGAGTAAATTAAGTTGGAATAACATGGCCTGCTCATCCTCTGTACGACGTGTAAGATTCTTTGAAAGTGACTTGCAAGTTACAAGACCTGAAAGGCGGACCTATTCTATGAAATAAGAGCTGATTTGATTTGTGCATATACTGTGCTTTAAAGCAAGGTCCTTACCCCCTCCAGCACTTATTTTTTGACCGGGTAAAGTCAGCAAATTTAGATTTATAATGACGCTGATTTGCTTACCGTGTTTTTCCCATCAAGCCCTTTTATTTGATACCATATCATAGGAGTCACACTCGAACTAAACATGTACATATATGAAACTTCAGCTTAATTGGTTAAGGTTGACTGGTTCAAAACAACATTCTAAGAAACAAGTCAAGTTAAAAAAAGGGCTGGAATTGTAAAAAAGCTAGTGTCTACTTACGTTTGCTGCAGCCAGCATAAGGATTGTTAAGTTTAACGGGATGCTTTTTGTCGCACTCGCAGGTGCCGCTGACCGGGTTGCAGTACACGTGTAACAATTTGGGGCTGCACGTGAATTCACAGGGGGCGCCCACGTACGTTCCTTTCTCGCCTGCAATCAAACGATATCGTTAAAGCATGCAGTCCAGAAACTAACTCAGTCTGCATGGAAGAATATTAAGATTCGATATTTTTTAATGATCTCATTAATAGAGGAATGAATTATTCTGCATGTCGCCAAGGCCAATTTTTTTTTTTTTGGACAAATTCTAAAAATGTTATTTTTGCACCGGACAAAGCTTTTTAGGTTTTTCTGATGATTTTGAATGGAAAAGATTTTTTGAAAGTTCCTCTATGGTTGATAATTTTCGAGTTATAGTTGATTTATTAGGTTATTCGGCTAAAGTTTTCGGGGTTTTTGTTATTTATATTTTAAATAATGTAAATTTATTCACAATACTTTGGCTTTATATATCATTTTAAAGCGCGATTTTCGCTCTATCTAGTCGTAGTATTCATTTTGTTTTACGATTATTTGTTTTTTTTTTTCAGGACTTCAAATATAGGATGGACAAAAGGCAAATTCGCTCAACTTTCTTATTCCACTTCAAATTAGGCCGAAAAGCTGCCGAGATAGTTCGCGACATTAACGATGATATTGGCCAAGGAACCACTAACGAACGTACGGCGCAATGGCGGTTCAAAAAATTCCGCAGCGGTGACGAGAGCTTTGAAGATAAAGCGCCCAGTGGTCGGCCATATGATGTCTACGACGACGGCCCTGACCAAACCTATTGTGAACAAAATAAAAATAATGTTCAAAATGTATTCGTACTTCTGAATATCAGTAGATTAAGCATCATTTTATATATATATATATATATATATATATAATATGCATCTATCAGTAATAACATAATCTTACATCAAGCATTTTTTTTCAACGCCTACTTAAATAAAATAAAAAACGTTTTTCCTTTTGACTAAAAAAATATATAACATGTGATATGTCGTTGATTTCGTAGAAAAAGATGCTATCAGATACAAGGTTTACCTTTTTCGGGTCATATAAAAGCAGATTTTTCCTAATTTAACCTAAGCTGTATCCCTCAGATATTGAGAAACCCATGCATAGGATCCTTATCTTGGATATATGACGCTGTTTCATCCTTGCTTGACATCATCAGTGCGATATATGTCATGGGATAAGCTGTATCGAATCAATCTATGTTTAATTCAGGCTGTATACTTTTGTAAATTGATGTGGCAATTTTCTTTTAGAATGAAAGCATTGCTCCGTAGAAGCAGCTTAATCCAGGAGATTCAGAAAATCGTCAAGAAATACTGGTCCTACAGACAGAAGTGGAATTGTTTTTAGCACATTTATTTCTTTGGATATATTGGATATTAATAATAAAATTGTAAGAACGTTCCTCATAATAACCAAAGTCTCAAATCAATTAAACGCCAAATTATCGTCAAATATTTTATTATAATAAAAATATAAAATCAATTAGTTTTATTCTCGTTTTTCTCAGCTACATCATTATCAGATATAAAATCAAAAACATCATACAAAAGATGTGTATCATACGCTCTGGTATTGATAATGCTTTTAAGATAATCTCTACTGTGATCATTGTGAAGCCACTTGGGATCGTGATAGCTAGTGGAAGACAGGTCTTTATTTTTGCCTTTTTCAAAAATGTGTATCGATTTTACAAAGTGCAGAGACCTAAAATTCTCTAACCGTTTAATAATATAATGAATGAATTATAATGAAACCAGCCATTTTTACATGCTTGTGAAACCTAGCTTCCTCTTGTATTTCATTTCTATCTGAAACGATTAGACCCACCAAGAGATTGTTTAGAATAATCCTCATAAAAAATAGGAAGGTGCTAGTCAAAATTCTACCAAAAATTGGATATTCTCTAGGTTCTATAACAGGATCGTCAAGCTGTCTAGTAAATCATACAAGACTTAAAAACAACGTTTTCGAAAAATCTGCTGTAATACTAGTGAAATTGTAATTTCCTTTATCCATATCAGTTGTATCACCAGTTTCAAATACGATGTAAAAACATATAGCAAAAGCAATGAACTGTATGGAATAGATAAAAAAATACTGCAAAAGGTATTTTGTAGAACCGAAAATAAGCGTATATTTAGTAAAAGTAGGCATTTGACTCAACATTAAACACAACATCACAGTCGAAAGCAAAATTGAAATAACCCTAGCATATATATGTATTTGGTATAGGTATGTTGCTAACGTAAAACCAATAATAGAAAGCTCTGTATAGTTTGATATGTCCGAGAAATATTTTAAATAACTGTATCATTTCTTTAAAAGATTGCATGAAAGGACGCGTATAAAGCATATAGTTAACAAATAAACTAACAAAACCTACGTGACTGAAAATCATATAGGAACAGATTAAAAGTAAGTAACTAGCGTAAAATATCAAGTCTGCATTGTATAACCAACAGACTCTCCACCATTTTGAAAGTATGAAAAGCACTAACAGAGGATGTAACATCAATTCTTCTTTCATAGGATCATCGATTAAGTACTGAAGTGCCTATGTTTCTGAGTAAGAATGCATCACAGTTCCATCAGTTTTTACGTAAGAGTTATCTTCAATAATACTGTTGCAGTTGAGGCCGTTTCTAGTACAATCGTCAAAATGGCTTCTAAGGATTGTTAGATGAATTTCTATGATTAAATGATTTTTCTTTTCTTCTTTCCTGCCGTAAGTTAGTTGGAGACCTAAGCCGAGTATTTGGCATATTAACTCCCTGTCATGTTTAATTAAAATAAGAACAAAAATAAGAAAAATTATTAGATAGCGTGTATCAGAACAATTTTTACCGAATATTTCATTCTACTTAGTTCTTTGCTGGCTTTAAATGTAGTCATGATATATCGACTAGTTCATTCTGATTGTACATCGAAGCATTTCTAATTACTTTATGCGAAACAAACCATACAAAATAGGACGAAGTACTGGCGATATGTCGTAGTTTGAATGTTACTCAATGATCAGCTGTCTCTTGTCACGTTTTGACGTAAATAGTTCGTTTTGTGGAAGCTTAAGAGTTTTAAACAAATTACCTTATCCAATACAGCAAGCTTGGCATCACTGAATCTAGTCCCCTGCTTATTTCTATGTAGTGATATGAGTTTGTTAAGAAACATGTACAGTGAGTTATTTCTGTAGATTTTATGATTCCTGAGAAAATTGGCGCGAGTATTAAAAAATAACTTTGGCAACATCTCAAATATATCATCCATATTTATTTGGCTTTTCTTGTGCAACAGCAGAACTGCGACCGTTGGATAATAACCATGTACTGACGCAGCTTCTAGTATAGTAGAAAGAGAAAATCGTATCAACAAAATTTCTTTGGGATCATCATAGCAGCCGCGGTATTCCGGCATTTAGGCTTCTGCCTGCGCGGCTGTTTCGATATAAAAAAAAAGTAACTTTATGTTTGCTATCTGTTAAGTTGAGATCTGCGTTGTTGTTTAACAGATGATATATACATCTAAAATAAAAATTACACTAATTACTGGTGGATGCAAGCCCGCGCACAACTGTTCGTGAGCTTCCGGAGGAGCTTGAGTTGATACTGCGACCATTTCCGATCACTTCGACGATACCAAAAATGCCTTCAATGAGTTCATCGCCTCCAGAACTCCGTATTTCTACGTTAGCGGCATAAATAAACTTGTTTCTCGTTGGCAAAAGTGTATGATTCTAAAGGTATTTATTCTGATTAATAAAGTTTTGTTAAAGCTGAGATATGCTCCTTTGAATTTAAAGGTTAAAAACTGCAAAAACTTTTCGAACAACGTAATAATATTTGAAAAAGTCTTTTAATTTTAATCTTTTCAAAGTTTTTCAATATTGTTCAAACATCTGTTACCAAAATCCCAAAGCATTTCATGGGGCATCGTTATTGTGAACCTTGGATTTTACTTATCACGTCTGCTAGCCATTATAATCGCGATGTTATATAACATGCACATCACAAAGAATCTTGTCATCCATTTCCATCGTTCTGTCGTTTGTCTGCCTGTCTATCTGTCAACCATTCCTTGGCCCGTCTATAACTTGGAAAGTACGGCTCGGATTTGGATGAAATTTTCACACAAGATTACTGCGGTGCCAAGGAGGAGAAAGTCAGTTATTTAAAAATGGTCTAGTGGGGATGGAGCTACGTGACAGGAAATGAAAAAAATAGAAATCGCTCAAAATTTTTTTTCAACGTTTCAGAGGCTGATCATTTAAAAAAAAATGTAGTGGTTGGAAATTGGAGCTTTTGGGATTGTAGGGGTGGAGGAAGGTATATGATAATGATGATAATAATAATAAGGTTACCTTATCTTTTACATCATAGCGAAGCTTAGCGTGACGGCTAATCTTCCACTTAAAATTAATATGGACGAAACACCAAAAGTTTACACACGCAACATAAAACAATTACTGGGCAGTTATTATACTACTTAGAAGCACAGCCAGCAAGAAAGAAAATGGTAACATTGGAAACACGAACGAATGAATAAGAATTAAATAGTAACAAAACAATGACTCAAGCGTTGATATTTGCATACCTAACAGCTGTTTTCTAAAAGATTTTTTAAAAACTTATTTGTTTGTTGAACGTACTGAGTGAATTGTATAACTGAACGGCATTGTTCGTAAAATATCTTTGATACCACGGTGTACGGTGAAGAGGAATATTCTTAAATTTCAGAGAGGAAGTAACCTACTTGCTAGGTCTCTTGGCGATGATTGTTTTATGTATAAAAACGAACAGTACAAACTCAAAAATATTTTGGAGCTTCAACTCATAAATCTTAGATGTAACACGGTAACAACAACAGTTTTGAATTTTCTGCAATCTGGTTTTTGTTATGGAGTCAAGACAAGAATAAAGTAGGGTGAAACGCAATGAAAGCAGCTTAGACATAACCAAGCTCCCTACTAATTTCTTTCAAGTTTTTAAATTGAGGATAGCATGATTAGAATATACTACTGACGTGATGATAAAATCGTCTAAACTGACACCTAAACTTTTTGCAAATGTGACCAGTGGAATATGGACGTTATTTACTTCAAAATCAATCGTCTTTTCAAAACTTTTGTAGTTGGTTTTGCGACAGAATAATATTTCAAAACTTCAAACAGTTGACCTTGCAATTTCATTTTTGTATGTCAATATACAGCGCTTTTCTTTAATATCCCCCTCCTGTTTGATTCTTTGAACGGATCAATTCAAAAACTTGAGGTAATGAAATTGATGCGTGGATACCATATTTTAGAGTAAAATTGACAGATGACAATGTCAAGATGGCCGCTGGGCGCCACCTTGGAAAAAAATTATATGAAAACCGGGGTCTTGTGGCACATCATTTCGAAGCCCCTGACTGAGTACTTTATAACCCTAGAATATAAAGTGAATACCTTTAAATAATACAAAATGGTGGTACATTTAATAATTACTTGAACGCAAACCCACTAACATGCATATCTCTACAAATAATTGTAATTCCCTGCCTAAAATATGGTATCCACGCATCAATTTCATTATCTCAAGTTTTAATTTTTTTAATTGATCCGTTCAAAAAATCAAAGCGGACGGGTCATTAAAGAAAAGCACTATGTAGCAGTGGCGGCTCGCCCCATGACGCAGGTGAAGCGCTGCTTCACCTGCAATTTCAAAAAAAATATATTTTTTTTATTTTGAAATTTATAAAAAAAATTCATTTATATCTTAAAAAATTATTTTTCGGACATTATTTGTATTTGCGATCAACAGAATACTGAGAAACCCCGCAACCAACAACGCGCCTACGTTTGCGCTTAATTTGGCGTGTTGAAACAGACCTGAAGCAGCTTTATTTGCACCGCATTGCTGCGTCCAGTACAGATACGAGCAAATACGACGGTTGCCATGACAACGGCACGCGCGCTTCCGTTTTGGCCGAGGCAAGTGAAGCAAATTATGAATTTGCGTCTAGTCTGCTCTGCATTACTACCGATATCGTATTGTGTCGAGGTTAGTTTTCATTGTTTTGAACAATGTTTCCTGTCTATGATACGGTTTGTGTTATGTTGGAAAAATCGTTTTCTCAATGGAGTAATGATGATAAAAAAGACTTTTTAAACTCCGAAAAACCTTCTCCGATATTAAATGTAAATAAAACCGCTAAAGTTAAGGACAAAGTGTACAGTCGAAATTTTAAAAAATCGTGGTATAGTGAGTTTGCATGGTTATGTGGTAGCTATTATTTAAATAAACTTTTTTGTGTGCCGTGTTTGATTGTAAGTGTTAAAGCAACCGTGTGGAGCAAGTACGGTTTCAATGATTTCGGGAATGTGACTCGTGCTCTTCGTAAACATGAAGGATCATCGGATCATATGCGTTGCGCACTAGGTTTTTCAAAATTGAAGAAAAATCTCACTACTATTGAGGATGCTTTACGCGAAAATTCCAGGCTGTATATTAAACAGTTTAACGAAAACGTGCAACTTAATAGACGTTTCATGGAATTGCCAATACGCGCTGTCCTTTTTTTGGGCAAACAAGAACTGGCGTTTCGTGGCCACAACGAAGAGACGACTTCTATTAACCGTGGAAATTTCAAAGAGCTCCTAGAAGCATTTGTATCTATAAGCCCTGTAGACATTCAGGAGCAAACCATTCAAAACGAAATTATTGACTGCATTGTCAAATGCATTGATGAATATGTGGAAAATGAAATAAAGGAATGCAGTTTTTTTTCCATTCAGGTGGATGATTCCACCGATATTGCCCACAAATCGCAGTGCAGCATAATAATCCGTTATGTCAATCTTGAAGGAAAACTTGTGGAGAGATTTTTAGGATTTCATGATGTAAGCTGCAGCCGAACATCTGAAGCATTATTTAAACTCGTGACAAGGTGTCTACAAAATTTTGATTACAAAACAAAACTCGTTGGACAATGTTTCGATGGTGCAAGCGTCATGTCCGGACAGTT